AGGGCACCCTCATCATTTTACACATGAAGAAGCTGAGACTCGGTAAAGAGTGTGACCCACTCCAGGTCATGCCCCTAGTGAATGGAAGAACCAGGAATTGAATGACAGAATGGAAGCTCCTTGAGGGCAGGGAGCATTTCATTTCTTTGTATCCATAACATCTAGAAGGCATTTAATAAATGCTTATTGACTGATTAAATCTAAGTCTTCTGACTCCAAGTCCAGTGGTCTAAACTGCCACCTAAATAAGGTCTAAACAAGGGAATTTAGTAATTGAGGAGACCTGAATTCACTGTTGGGGAAACCTGGTGTCAAGAATGACTCAAGCGGGCCCAAGAAAACTGTACTATTGTCCCCCTCACCCCAAAGCATGCTGTCTTCCATGACCCATTTTCCTTCTCTGTCATTGTCTTCCTAACCCCTACTACTTCTCCACTACCCATCATTCTCCCAGATGTTATCACATCACCACCTTGTGTCCACATACAGCATCCCCTGGGACGTTCACAGTGACAGTGTGAGGCAAAGATCATAGCCTGCATTTAACAGATGAGGAAACAAAAGCAAATGAAAGGTTAAGTGATTTGTACCACAAAGTGACAGTGAGTCAGTTAGTAGAGCTGGGACTGGGTTCCAGGTCATCTTTTCTCTTTTCTCTGTGCTGTCTTGCCTCCTGTCCAAATCTTTGTTTTTTCCTTATGCCCTAGATGCCCCACATCCTGATCTCACCACCAAAGGTGAGAAAGAGTTTGGAGATGAGGACACTGAGACCTCTTTGGGGTCTAACTGGATCAGCCAGGGAGGTAAAGGGTATGATTGGCTTTCTGCAAGGCCAACTTCATGTACATCTGTCTGCACCTCGACCTGCTAATTAGGTTCCCCATGGGCAAGAGATAGAACCTGGCAAGGATCCTAGGTGTAGGGCTGGAAGGAAGCTTAGAGATCATGTAGAGCAACCCTCTCATTTTACAAAAGGGGAAACTGAGGCTCAAGAAGTGCTATGATTTGTCCAAGGTCATAATGGGTAAAGAGGAGAAAAGATGGAATAGTCTTAAGCTGAACTTTAAAAAAACATCCAATTCAAATTGTAGAAGCAGGTAGGGGGCATAATGGATGGAGTACTGGACTAGGGGTCTAAAAGACCTGAGTTCAAATCCTGACTCAGATACTAGCTGTAGAACCTGGGGCAAGTCATTTCACCTTGTGTCTAAAATGAAGAAGTTGGACCCAGTGGCCTTGAAAGTCTCTTTTGGCCCTAAATATATGTTCCTCTCCAAGGAGGGGATCCTGTGATCTCAAGGCCACATGTGACCCTCTAGGTCCTCAAGTTGGGCCCTTTGACTGAATCCAAACCTCACAGAATAAATCTCCCCCCATAAAAGTATTTATTCTGTGAAGTTTGGATTCGGTGGAAGGGTCCTACTTGAGGACCTGGAGGCCCTCGGTTCTCCACCCCTGCAAGTCTGGCCCACTATCTGGCACACAGTAGACAGTTTAATAATAAATGCTTGTCTATTGATTTTTCAGTGCCTATTGCATGGTAGGCACAGGGGATAAGTGATAAAGACAAAAGTGAAAGCGGGCCTTGCCCTCAGGAAGCTTATACTCTATTAGAATGAAATACAATCCACAGACGTAAGTGCAAGTATAGACAAAGTAATGTTTTGGAGAGGAAGGTGCACTAATAACTGGGAAGGAATAGGAAAGGCTTCATGTAGGACCTAGTGATGGAAGTGAGGAAGCAGTGTCCTCCAAGAATGAGGTGATTTAGGCAAAGGCATGGAGATGATGAAAAGATATGTTGGTAGGGTGGGGATGGGGAGGAGACACTAAATTAGCTAATGCTGCTAAAACAGGGGAAGTAAGGGAGAGTCATTGGGCAGCTAGGGGGCGCCCTAGTGCTCAGAGCACTGGATTTGGACTCAGGAAGACTCATCTTCCTAGCTGTGTGACCCTAGGCAAGTCACTTTACCCTGTTTGCCTCAGTTTCCTCATCTGTCAAATGAGCTGGAGAAGGAAGTGGCAGACCACTCCAGTATCCTCCAAGAAAACCCTGAATGGGGTCATAAAGAGTTGAACACGACTGAACAAGAGTGGAAAGTAAACCTGGAAAGGCAGTAAGGATGTACACGGCAGACTTGTTCACCTGCTATGTCTTGTTACAGTTTGAGTGGGGCAGGGATGAGAGCAGATTGGAGGAGGAGCCAGCCTGTTCGCCTCCATTCAAAATGAGCTGCAGTTAATACCCCTTCACCCAAGCTTTCCACATTTCTGAAGCCCAAACTCGACCAACTAGGACCATACTTGTGATCTGTGTCAACTCCATTCCACAAAATCCCATTAGGATTTTTTTCTTTATTAAGATTCTCAAGTCCTAGTCTTCCCCCCCCCCTCCAACTCTTCTCCTCCTTGCCTCTCATCCAGAGCCCTGCAGCCAAAATATCCATGAGGGTGGAGGCTCAGGGCCACCCAGCAAGTGGCAGAATCAAGACTCAAGCCCATGTCTTTTGCCTCCTAATTCAGGGCTCTGTTCACTAATACAACTTGCCCTTTGGAAATTTTGGTCAAAGATAACAGAAGATCCTAAGGTTCTGAGCTATGAAGGACCTCAGAGGCCATCTGGTTTAACCCCTCATTCTATAGATTGGGCAACTGAGGAAAATTTACTTTCCCAAGATTGGGAAAGGCAAATCTCTCAATGAGTGAGTTGGTGCAGCATTAAGTCTAGTTTAGGATTTAGGGGAATGGAAGGCCTCAGCCTTTGGTTAGAGTTTTGATTAGAGACGAAGGAAGGAAGTCCTTATCACTTCAGCATTCTGGAATTACCTTGGAAGTCTGGGCAATAAGGCTCCTTATGAAAGTGCTTCATATACCACAAATCAATATACAAATGAAAGCTATTATTATAAGCAGAGACAGCCTGATTCAAATCTTACCTGTGACGCTACCTTTGCGATCTTGGGCATCACACCTCTCAGCCTCAGTTTCTTCATCTGTAAAATGAAGATGGCTACCTGCAGTAGCCACTTCCCAGCATTCTAGGATTCTAGATCTAGAGCTGGAAGAGTTCTTAAAGGTCAGCAAGTCCAGTGTGTTCCTTTTACAGCTGAGACAACTGACATTCCAGGTTGAAAGATTTGCCTCAGGTCAAATAGGCAGTGATCATCAGAGGTGGGTTCTCTGTCCTACTTCGGGTATCACTAGTCCATGTTCTTTCCACTGGGCCCTGGAATATGCAGAAATATGGATGGCATTTCTACTTGACCTTGTCCCAAATGCCTCTCCATGTGACTTATTTTATTTTCAGTTCAAAATTCTTTCCATTCTCCTCCCCCCTGTTCCACACCCATTGAGAAGGCAAGAAAAAAAATTACAAATACGTGTAATTGTATACAATGAATGTCCACGTTAGCCATGTTAAAAAAAAAGTAAGAAAAAGAGAAAATGTGCTTTAGTCTACACTCTGAGCCCAGTCCCACTCTGTATGGTGGTGGATAGCACGTTTTATCATGAGTCTTTGGAATTGTGGTGGGCCATTGTCTCGGCTCTTTCAAAGTCTTTCAAAATTGAGTATCTTTCCAGTGTTGTTGTAATTGTATAAATTGTGTTCTGGTTCTGCTCACTTTACTTTGCATCGTATCATGTAAGTCTTCCGAGGTTTCTCTGGAATCATCCCTTTCATCATTCCCTACAGCACAATAATATTCCATCACATTCAGTTACCATAGCCTTTTCAGCCATCCCCCAATTGATGGGCATCCCCTCAGTTTTCAATTCTTTGCTACCACAAAAAGAGCTGCTGTAAATATTTTGCGAACATCTGGGTCCTTTTTCCCTTTCTTTGATCTCTTTGGGGCAGAGACTGAGTAGGGTTATTATTATGTCAAAAAGTGTGCACAGTTTAATAGTTCCAAATTGCTTTCCCTAATGGTTGGACTTATTTACAGCTTCACCAACAATGCATTAGTGTACCTATTTTCCCTTATTCTCTCCAGCATCTATCATTTCTTTCTTTTTTTGTCACCTTAGCCAATAAGATGAGTATGAGGAGGTAACTCATAGTAGTTTTAACGTGCCTTTCTCTAATTATTAGTGTGGTGCAGTGGATAGAGTGCCAGGCCTGGAGTTAGGAAGACCTGAGTTCAGATCTAGTCTCAGACACTTACTAGCTGTGTGACCTGGGGCAAGTCATTTAACCTCTGTTTGCTTTAATCCACTGGAGAAGGAAATAGCAAACCACTCCAATATCTTTGTCGAGAAAACCCCATGGATAGTGTTTAAAGTTTTGCAAAGCACTTTATATCTATGTATACATATATACATATATGTATTATCTCATTTTATCTTCATATTAGCCTTAATAGATAGTTGATATTATTACCCCCATTTTATGTTGTTTGTTTTCAGTTATTTCTGACTCCTTTGTGACCCCATTTGGGGTTTTCTTGGCAAAGATACTGGAGTAGTTTGCCATTTCCTTCTCCACCTCATTTGACAGATGAGGAAACTGAGGCAAACAGGGTTAAGTGACTTGCCCAAGGTCAAACAGCTAGTAAGTGTCTGAGGCTGGGTTTGAATTCAGGTCTTCTTGATTATTAACCCCCATTTTACCGATTTAGAAATTGAGTCTCAGAGACATCAAGTGAGTCATTAGACTCATAGATGTAGCATAGGAAGGAACCCTGATTGTCATCTAGTCCAGCCCTGAATTTTATAGGCACAGGGAGGTTAAGGGATTTACCCAAGGCCACAGAGCCTGGAAATATCAAAGGTAACATTTGAACCCAGGTCTCCCGATTGTGGCTCCTGTGCTTTTACTGCTGTACCAAATGGCTTGCCCAGCCCAGAGGGAGCCACTCATTCCTGAGATAAGGCAGCCTATCCTTGGAACTCTAAGGACCCTCCATTGAGTAATGACCTTGGGATGGTAGGTGAGGGGAGAGCTCCCATGCTGATGCCAAAGTCATGGCTCTCTCTCATCCTTGCCTCCATCTTTGCAGGTTTTGGTGAACCTAATCTAGCCTCCTCCTCCTCCCAGCTCCCAAGTGAGGGGCCCCAGCCTGAGTTTCCCACTGTACACTGCCTGAGGCGGAAGTGGAAGGGCTTGAGGGTCCGGGCCCCCGTGGATGAACTGCTGCTGAAGGTGCTGACATCCCAACAGGCCATGGAAGAGAGACTCCTGCATCTGGAGGAGCGGCGGGTACAGCGGGACCTGGAGCTGGAGGAGCGGCGGGTACAGCTAGAACAGCGGCGCCTCGAGTTGGAGCGGGAGCACGAGTTCCGAATGTTTGGCATCTTTGCCCAGATGCTCAGCATCCTTAAGCAGGGAAGTGGGGCTGCTCCCGGCCCCAGCAGCCCCAATGCCCTGGCAGGGCTTGGGCTTGGCCCCTGGCTATCCCAGGGGAGCCAGAATGTCCCAGGGTCCAGAACAAATGTCCGGGGTCTTCTCTGAGCCAAATAACCCCAGAGCCAAACACCTTCAGGGAAGTGCGTACCTCTCCAACAGAGGGACTGACATCAAATTCAGACATGGTGTCACTGAGGAGTTCATGGTGGCCTACGAGGCAGACAATTATGATGAAGACAAAAACCCCAATGTGAGTATGGCTGTCTTGGAAGCCTGAAGGTGAAGCTGGGTTGGAGGGATCTGACAAGGAGCAGTGGAAAGAGCTCTGGTCTAGACTACTCATGGCACCTGGGTTCCAATACTGCCACTGATGATCGCTAACTATCCTGGGCAAATCTCTTAAACTTTCCGGGCCTCAGTTTCCTTCTCTGTAAAATGAGGAGTTAGACTAGATGGCCTCTTTCCACTCTAGAGCTAAGATCTTGTGAGCCCAGTAAGTCCCCTGTCTCACTGACAGGGAACATTTTACCTCTGCTTCCAGGCCCGTGGGGTGGAGGCCCAGATATGTATCACAAAGGGGTTTCTGGTCCAGAATGTCCCAGTCCAGGTTCTGGAAACTCAACTGGAAAATTTGCTTTTCTCTGAGACTAGGAGAATCTGATATCAATGAGCCACCGTGTAGGGGACCGAGGCTTTGTTCTTTGCCTTGGCCTTCCTCTTTGGGAGCTGTTTCTTCTACTTTCTGCTCTAGGCTCCGTCCCTCACCCCTATCCAAAAGGAGGTGCCCCTGCCTACAAAGCAGCAGACTAAGGCTCGCCTTCAGAGCCAGCAGTGACCCCATTTTCTCCCTCCCTTCTTTAGGGCATCATTAACTTTGGGATCAGTGAAAACAAGCTCTGCTTTGATCTGTTGTCCAAACGGGTAAGTGTTGCCCTGGGTGTCCCTTTCTTTGTGTCCAGGTCAGTTTCAAAGGCCCCAGGTGAACAGAGGACAGAAGCAGAGAAGGTAATCTTCTACTTAGCAGAGCTTGGAGGCAGAAGGCCATTTGAGCATTGCCACTAAGCAGTCAAGAAGGAAAGTGATAATGTAGTAGAGAGGATAGAGAGCTGACTTTACTGTCAGGAGGACCTGAGTTCAAGTCCCACCTTGGACTTGCTGGCTTTGAGATCCTGGGAAAGCCCCTTAAACTCTCAATGTCCAGGTCATTCTTCCTAAGACTTTAAGTTGTGGAGAAATTGATAATCTGCATCGATAAAGAGAGCTTTCCCAACTATAGTCACCTATACCAATGAAATAACAGGTCTGGACCCCATCTCCCAATTAAAAGGAAGGCAGGGCAAAAGTATGTGGGCTTGGAAGGCACCAGCTATTGCCAATAACTCGGAGGTGGGTACCAGCTTCTCCCCAAGCCCTACCCCCTGCCCCCAAATCACCAATACCCAGGACTAACCTATAAAGCCAGAGCTAACCCAGGTTTTCCTAAATCAGCCCATATGTTTTAGAACTGACAGAAGGGAGTGTAGAAAAGCCAGGTGTGACTGTTTTGTCGCAGACCATCGTGGCTCTGGGGAGTCAAGCTACTTTGGTAGTCTTCTCTATGTGACTGTGTGTTACCCTGTGCTGTGGGTATTCCTTGAAGACAAGCTGCTGGAGGTCCTGAGACTCACCAAAGCATTGAGTAATATTGGCTATGTTACAAGGTCAGTGACAGCTGTGTCTTCGACATCTTTTGAGCCTTCCCCTGTTTTCTTGGGCAGGCTTGGGCCAGAGCTTGCAACACCCTGGAAGTAAGAATAGGTGGGACCCTCCCAGGTTGAATGTCTGGGAAGTATCATCTGCCAATTCTGTGGTTGTTATCTCTTAGTGAGAATTAAGGGGTAGATGTCTCAGCAGGCACCGTGGCAGATGGATGTAGAGGAACCTATGGTATTCATTTATAATATCAGCCTTTGTGTGTGGCCTGTGTGTGCGAATGATACCTGTGTGACTCACCTGGGTGGACTGTGTGCTGGAGTGCATCCTTAGGGCTGTCTTCCTTTTTGCCAACAGCTGACTCAGAGTGATATGCATCACATTGAACCTCCCTTACTGCAGTACCCAGACTGGAGGGGACACATGTTGTAAGTAGCCTGGGGTCCTGCCCTACTACCATTCAAAATCTGGCCAAGGTGAGCTGAGCAGGGCTGGGGAAGGGGGAAAGAGTGAGATACAGTGGACTGAGCCATGATTTAGAATCAGAAGACCTGGGTTCAAGTTCTGGCCTTCCTGCTTCTGACCAGTGTAATTTTGGGCAAGAGAAAGTTGGAGCAAGATGGAGATGGCATTTAAACTTGTTGGATTTCCCTTAGAATTTGAAGCTTTAGGCAGGCAGCCATGGTAGAGCAGATAAAGGGCTGGCCTAAGAAGTGGGAAGACCTGGGACCAAGTCCTACTTGTGACATATGCTAGTTGTGTGACCTTGGGTAAGTCCCTTATTAATGCTCAGGGCAACCTACCAATACAGTAAGTCACAGAGCTGTTTTGAGTCTGAATTAGCAGAGGGATTTTCCTTATTATGTATTCCCTATACTGATGAAACCACAGGTAAGTTTAAAAAAACTCAAAAAATAAGAAAAGGTCTCAAACTTCAAAATTGGAGATTTAAATACCTTTAATTGTAGAAAAGAAGTATTTCATTTCGAAGAGTCTTCATGTGGAAGAAGGATGAACTAACACATTTCAATACGATACAAGGAAAAGCTTCCCACCAAGTAGAGCCAGGAGTGTGCTGGCAAATATTTAAAAACCAGGCTCTCCAGGGGGAATAGCAACATCAAAAAACAACTTATGCACGCACGCATACACACACACACACACACACACACACACACACACACACTTAATATACATTATTTACATTTTCTCTATCACTTTCTTAAGTCTAGGCAATTGACAAAATAATAATTCAATCCCTGATTTGTAGTGATTTTTAATTTCTGAGATGTAAATGCTTATGCTGAAAATTTAACAATGGTCCTAGCTGGCCCCTTCATGTCTGTGAGTAAAGCTGCCCTAAAATAGAAAGTAGTGAGTTCCCCATCCCAAGAGGTCTTCAAGGAGAGCCTGGATGACATTGCTGAAGAGAGAATTCCTGTCCATGTATAGATAGGACTCAATGACTTCTGAGATCCTTTCCAACTCTGAGCCACTGTGATTCTATGCCTGTGTGTCTATGGTCCTTTGCATCTCAAATAGTCTGAGTCTAAAAGATGCATGGCCTCCTAGGGCCTGGTTCAGGGGAAATTGGGATAGTTTGTCATTCCATTCTAGCTTAGAGACATGTAGGGGTAGAGTCCTTGGTTCTCTCCTTGTCTGTTTGGGTAGGCAGGAAGGAGCCTCCCAGCAAAAGTTGAGACATTCCCCTGGCCATGGCTTGTGCCCAGTGGTGTGGAAAAGATCTTATGTTTAATCCAGAATGAGGACAATCTGGGGGAAGAAACCTTGTGCCTTGGGAGAAGCCATGGGTTCTCTGGTTAGTAGCTCTGTCTGTGTGTCTTTGTTACAGTCTTCGTGAAGAAATGGCCCGCTTCCTGACCTACTACTGCAAGGCTCCCACTCCACTCAAACCGGAAAATGTGAGTCACCAGCCCCATACCCTCTGGTGCCCTGCTGGTCCCAGAATAAAGAGCTTGTATTTATCTCATTTGAAAGAAAGGAAGAAGAAAGTGAGAGAAAGAGAAAGAAAAAGAAAGAAGGAAGGGAAAAAAGGAAGAAAGAGAAAGAAAGAGCAAAAGGAAGAAAGAAAATGAGAGAGAAAAAGAAGGATGGAAGGAGGGAAGAAAGAAAGCAAAAGGAAGAAAGAGAAAGAAAGAAGGAAGGAAAGAAGGAAGGAAGAACAAAAGAAAGGAAGGAAGAAAGAGAAAGAAAGAAAGAAGAAAGAAGAAAGAAAGAAAGAAAGAAAGAAAGAAAGAAAGAAAGAAAAGGGGGGAAGAGAAAGAAAGAAAGAAAGAGAAAGAAAGAAACAGCAAAGGGAAGGAAGGGAGAGAGGGAAAGAGAAGGAAGAAAGGAGAATAAGGGAGGTAAGGAGAGAGGAAAGGAAGGAAAGAAGAAGGAAAGAAAGAAAGAAAAGTTGGGCACCTTTTGTCCATTCAATCAATCATCATACATTTATTAAGTACTTATTATGTAGCAGACACTGTGCTAAGTACTAGGACTTCATAGAAAAAGCAAGAACTGTCCCTGTCCTCAAGCAGCTGACAGTCTAAGGGGAGAGATAACATGTAGGACAAATTTAAGAACAAGGATACAGGGTAGAGTCTGTGAGCTTTTCTCTCTAAAAGCTTGTCTTGCCTCCTTCCTAGTGCCAACCACTCTCATATTATCTGTGTGGCTTTGGTCAAATCACTTAGTTTCACTAGGCTTCAATTCCTCTTCTTTAAAATAAGAGAGTTCCTAAATATCTTTTTAATGGACCACCTAGTTTAGCATTACCACTTCTATGTTGTTCTAAACTTTTGCAAAACTAGGGACATTTGAGAATGTGATGATGATAATGATGATGTCCTGAATTAAGCAAATCATTATAACATGTAGGTATGGTTTACATTTAAAAAATCGTTCTTAGCAGTACTGTTCATTTCTTTTTCATTGCTTATTACCTCACTGTGAAGGTCCAACTTGCTTCTTAAGAATTATTTTATAGAATTGTGTTTATACTATAAAAAAAATTTCATGTTTAAAATTGTC